AGAATATTATCATATATGTTCTACTGTTCCTGTTATATATTTATCTAAAGAAGAATCAGCAATATTATTAGTCCTATCCTGGCATCTCAGCCCCATTCACTTTCTCACCTCCATAAAGTTGCTTCTCTGTGGTTTTTCTATAAATACTTTCATGGTACACTATTTACATTATTCAGATTATTGTCCACATCTTTGTCGCTATATTTATTACAACAGTGACAGGGCCCAAAGAGTGTGAGTTCGATACCTGGTTAAGGCGGTGGAGAAGTTAGAGATGGGGAATTAACAGGAAATAATTGATGACTGACATTCATTAGACATGGCAAGTGGGACTAGAACAGTCTACCCAATGAGCGAAATAAAGGGTTCAGTTCGACATTCCAACCACCTGAAGAAGGACGCAGCGTACGACAGCCGAAACGTTGTAATAAATATGACGACAAAAATGAGGACAATAGTCCGAATAATGTAAATAATGTACATAATACCTCATCTCAGAAATATAGACAGATACTGAAAGGCCGAAACGTTGTAATAAATATGGTGACAAAGATGAGGACAATAGTCCGAATAATGTAAATAATGTACATAATACCTCATCTCAGAAATATAGACAGATACTGAAAGGCCAAAACGTTGTAATAAATGTGGTGACATAGATGAGGACAATAGTCCCAATAATGTAAATAGTGTACATAATACCTCATCTCAGAAATATAGACAGATACTGAAATGGTGAAACGTTGTAATAAATATGGCGGCAAAGATAAGGACAATAGTCCGAATAATGTAAATAGTGTACATAATACCTCATCTCAGAAATATAGACAGATACTTTCGTCGTAATTGTTCAGATAAGCTCTTCGCTATGGTGTTTTTCTAAGAGTACCTTAGATGTGACACAAGGCCGAAAGTATGAAGCACCTAGTGAGGATCGAACTCACTACTCAGTCGTAACTGATCTAGCATGACAAGCTTTCTAACCATTACACCACGGAGAGATGCCCAAAGCTCTTCGCAAGACTTCATGAATTTAAGTGCAGTACTAGATTGGCAGCAAGTTCTCATCAATTTAGTATTGAATTAGCTAGATGTAACCGTAGGGTCTATGTTAACAATTTCTTTTCTCGTATGTAGCCTCTTGCGTTACAGTCAAAAATTCAAATGCAATGTCAATCGTTATCTACTGTCTTCCTGATTAATATTCTATTCTTCACGCCGCCCCTCAATAATACTTCTGTTTTCTAATTTTTCACACCCAATTAACCTTGATGTCTTAGTGGCTTTATTGCCTTCTTTTGGGTAATTTCAACATATATATATATATATATATATATATATATATATATATATATATATATATATATATTATCTGAAAATCTGTAAAAGGAACTCAGTTTAGTGGGTTTTTTTTTTCTAGATATTATATATTTTGTGTAATGGATAATTATCCAATGCTGTTACACGATTTGGGCAATTTTGCTGTTACACCCTGTATATGTTGACTACATTTGCCATAATGTCCGGTTTTTAAGCCTCTCATCGTTCTCTGTTAATTTCTTTTGGTCAAAAACTTCAACAGGTAGATATATAGATACATACCTAGAGAGAGAGAAAGAAAGAAAGACCGATATATAGATAGATACAAAGAGACTTATACATGGAGAGAGAGAGAGAGAGAGAGAGAGAGAAACAGAGTGATATATACACAGATATAAAGAGATGGATAGGGATAGATAAAGACAGTGAGTGGCTTATACATAGGTATTTATAAATAGACTGAAATAGATAGATTCTGAATGAGATAGATAGATAGATAGATAGATAGATAGATAGATAGATAGATAGATAGATAGATTCAGAATGACATAGATAGATAGATAGATAGATAGATAGATAGATAGATAGATAGATAGATTCTGAATTAGATAGATAGATAGATAGATTCTGAATGAGATAGATAGATAGATAGATAGATAGATAGATAGATAGATAGATAGATTCTGAATGAGATAGATAGATACATTCTGAATGAGATAGATAGATAGATAGATAGATAGATAGATCGATAGATAGATTCTGAATGAGATAGATACATTCTGAATGAGATAGATAGATAGATAGATAGATAGATAGATAGATAGATTCTGAATGAGATAGATAGATAGATAGTTAGATAGATAGATAGATTCTGAATGAGATAGCTAGATAGATAGATAGAAATGAGAAATAAAATACTCATATATAGAAAGATATAAGCAGACTGCTAGAATATATATATATATATATATATATATATATATATATATATATATATATATATATATATATATATAACTGACGATTGCATTTAGCATGAAACAGACTGTCGCCTCTAAGTGTTGACTTCTATGCTCACTGATATATATATATATATATATATATATATATATATATATATATATATATATACAGAGAGAGAGAGAGAGAGAGAGAGAGAGAGAGAGAGAGAAGAAAGAAAAAAGAAAAAGACTGATATATGGACAGTTATAAACAGATGTTATATATATATATATATATAAGACAGTAAACCTTTGTAATTCTTTCTTTCTTTCCTTCCTTCTTTCTTTCTTGTTTTGTATCTTTCTTTCTTTCTTTCTTTCTTTCTTTCTTTCTCTGTCATCCCTTTGTTAGTATTACTTTTGCCTATCCTCTCACATTTTTTCTTCTCTCATTTCATTATTCTGTCAGATTCTTTCCTTTGCTATATTCTCTGTTCATTTTCAATTTCTGTCATTACCTTCATTACCTTCATTTCTATATCCCTATCACTCTCTGTCAATCTCCCCCACTCTCTCATTTAGACTCTCACTCTCTTCTTCTTCTGCTTCTTCTTCTTTCCTCTCCTCTTTCTCCTCCTCCTCCTCCTCCTCTTTCTTCTTCTTCTTCTTCTTTTTCCTCACCAGCTATGATTTTCTTCTTCCTTTCCCACTCTTCTTCTTCTTCTTCTTCTTCTTCTTCTTCTTCTTCTTCTTCTTCTTCTTCTTCTTCCGTCTCACCAGCTATGATCTTCTTATCCCTTCCTACTTTTCTTCTTCTTCTTCTTCTTCTTCTTCTTCTTCTGTCTCACCAGCTATGATCTTCTTCTCCCTTCCTCCTCTTTCTTCTTCTTCTTCTTCTTCTTCTTCTTCTTCTTCTTCTTCTTCCGTCTCACCAGCTATGATCTTCTTCTCCCTTCATACTCTTCTTCTTCTTCTTCTTCTTCTTCTTTTTTCTTCTTCTTCTTCTTCTTCCGTCTCACCAGCTATGATCTTCTTATCCCTTCCTACTTTTCTTCTTCTTCTTCTTCTTCTCTGTTTTTCCATATTTCTCTCCATATTCTTTCTTTCTTTCATTCTTTCTTTCTTTCTTTCTTCATTCACGCGCTCTGCCAGTTTCCCTTTTTCTATATCTCTCATTTTCTCTTAATCTGTAACTCTCTCTTTCTGTATCCATCACTCTCTTTTATTTCCACGCCTTCTCGATCTCTCTTTCTTATTCTCGTTCTTTCTCTTTTTCTCTTTCTATATCACACTCGCCCTCTTTCTTGCTTTGTCCCATTCACGTACTCTCTCTCTCTCTCTCACTCGATTTCTCACATTCTTTCTCTCATTTTTTTCTCTCAGACTCTTTTACTCCCCCTCTCTTTTATTCTATCTTGTTTTCTATCTCTCTCGCCCTCACGTTTTCTCTTTCTTTAATTCTTTTATTCTCTGGGTTTGTGTTTAATTTCTATCCACTCTCTTTCTCGCTTACTCTCATTCACGCACTCTGTCTCTCTCTCACTCTCTTTCTTACGTTATTTCTCTCATATTTTTCGATTCCCCCCCTCTTGTTATCTATCTCTCTCATTTTCTCTCTTTCATTCTCTTTAATTCTTTTACTCACCGTGTTTGTGTTTAATTTCTCTCTCTCTTTCTCGCTTTCATTCACGTACTCTGTCTTTCTGTCACTCTCTTTCTCGCACCACTCCTCTCATGTTCTTCGATTCTCCCTCCTCTTTTTCTCCTTCTCCCTCACACTCTCATTTCCTCTCTTTCCATTCTCTTTAATTCTTTTACTCTCTCTGTTTTTAATTTCTATTCACTTTCTTTCTTACATTATTTCTCTTTTATTCTTCGATTCTCCCCGCTCTTGTTGTCTATCACTCTCCTTTTCTCTCTTTCATTCTCTTTAATTCTTTTACTCTCTGCGTTTGTGTTTAATTTCTATCCACTCTCTTCCTCGCTTTCATTCGCTCACTCTCTTTCTTGCATTCTTCGATTCTACCCCCTTTAGTTATCTATCTATCTATCTATCTATCTATCTATCTATCTATCTATCTATCTATCTATCTATCTATCTCACTCTCTCGCTTTCTCTCTTTTCATTCTCTATAATTCTTTTACTCTTTCTGTTTGTGTTTAATTTTATTCCACTCTCTTTTACTCTCATTCTCAACTTATTCAACATCTAGTCTTCTTTTTCTATCCTTTTCCTTCTAACACGCTTACTTTTTTTCGTTTCTCTTTCATTCCTTGCTCTTCTTTATCGTCGTCTTTTTTTATTTAACATTCTGCGGGGTTAAATTTAAAAAAACAAACAAAGACAAACAAAAAACAATTATGTGTAGAAATCAACGAAAACAGGTAAAATAGTTTTATTTTATTTTTTATCCATTTTTCTTCATTTTTTTTGTTTTGTTTTCATCCGTTTTGACACGTGTTTTCGTT